ACAGCTGGAAATAGTTTCATGACTTATCTTTGTTTTTATATTTGTGATATTTTGACATAACGGATAGTATCAAACATAAAGTCTAATAATGAAACTATGCAAGTACAAGATATTCAAAATTGAGAAACTTTCGCAAACTGAGGATAAATAATGTAAAAGAACCGTTTCTTTTCACGTGATTACATTTCCAATTTAAATATGATTTGATATGACAACATTACGTACATGTCAACATTTTCTTCGTTCCTCGTAAATTTTCAGTTTATCCTTGATGACTTTTCGATCAAAATATCACAAATATAAACACATCTCACATCATGCGCCTATACTCCAACCAGATCCATAACCTTTACTAGGGAACTGGACGAAATTTCAACAGACTCCTAACAACTGTGATTAAAGTTGCTGCTGGCTGCTAAGCCTCATCACAGAAGCGACCTCGGAAAATTTTGTTTCAAACATACTTCTTGCACGAAATCTACCAGTGACGAACTGATAAACGATGTAATCATTATTACCATTCCGCCTACTTTAGAACTCAATTAGCATAAACGGATATGAATTATTCAGAATATGATACGATATATGAGCTACATTTACTGCCATTAACAAAAAGATAGTAAAAGGCATCAGAATTTATTCAAGAAACATTACCCTTAGCATAAACTAATAATGAATCTTACAATTTTTGTAAATTGAGCATCACGATTAAGTATCGACGAATGTTTTAGTATTTTTTCTTCTAGTTTCTAAAAGATAACAACATTAAATGATACATGCAGTTGAGAAAAAAAGGATGCGTACATTTTTTAATCCAGTATGCATATATTTAACATCTACAATAAACGATGCAAAACTGATGTAAACGAAAACATGGAAAAATAGAGTTTTACCTTGTGATATAAAACAGCTCATTTGAAGTAGACGTTCTTCAGATGTGGACGTAGGTTCTTCCGGTGCTTCATCACATTTCAATCTATACACTAGTTAAGAAGTAATAGAGCTTGTGGAGATTTTTGTACAATAGATCATGGCTAAGATCTCTTGAAAGACGATTATTTCAAACAAAGTGAGTTTTTCACTTCATTCTTCTTTTATATATAAGAGAAAATACGAACACGAAATAAAGGATACGTTGCTTTGATAGTAATTCCAAAAAACTGATCGATTAAACTCTTGTTGCTGGAGGCTCCTGCAGCAGCACCCTGTTGTTGCTCTTTGAGTCCCTGTAAATTCATCTGTAATATGTGCATCATTTGTACCCAAAATTCATTGGCATCCTGCTGCATCAAATGTCCATGATCGTCTTTTTCAGCAAAACGTGGAAATTCACGATGAATCGATGCCAATAGTGTCAATGGCATAAATGAATCAGTATTCGATTCTAATTGTTGATACGTGGTTTTCAATGCATTTGTGATCATTTGCGTTCCATCACGTTGCTGACTTGACATATGAAATTGTTTAATAGAATCACGTAGTTCAGGTACAGATTTCAAACATTGCAGTGTCGCATTCATGTAGCATGTATTGCCTAAAACAACAAGGAAGTTTTCGCAATTCTTGATTATAGTACTGATTAACAGAAAAAGGAACTCTCGAAAACAGAGAGTTAAACATTTCTCTTTTACCTAAATTTTTCAGTCCGCCTGTAAATTGCATGGCTCTCGCTATTTGTTGTTCGGTCATATCTTCTAAGAACTTCGGTGTTTCTGCTGGTAATTCAGGAACTGCATCAGCTGAGCCCATGAGTAATAATGTTAAACCATTTGTTAACTGCACTTTTCCCCACGAGTCATCGCCAATCGTTTGTCCTTTAATCATAATTTTCTGACGTTCAATGGGCACATTTGTTAATGAAAATAATTGAGCTTTTAAAACTGCTGGTGGCATCGTCATATCAACTTCAATATCTTTAAACACTTCTTTGTTCCATTTTATACTAACTAAAACAAAATGAAAACAAATATGAGAGAATAGAAAACGAAGTAGAATGCTTGACAGTGTTTCATTAATATATTCTTAACAATAGCGTAGACTTGAGACAACATGTTCTTTTTGTAATCTCATACCACTTTACCGCATTGACTTAAGAAAACTATCGATTAATCTTATATTTTGTATGGAATTTAGTCATGGTTTTTACTAATGTCCACATTGAAGGTTTTTGATGAAATGATCATAGTATTTCTTTACCTTTGACAGTCGCCATGATCTTAATTCAAATGCGTTCAATCAACTTTAAATATCTATAAGTAAAATCTAGAAACACAGATAAAGTATCGTATAACAGTATTTTTTATAATGAATGTACGTAACAGAAGCAGAGTGTACGATGCACTCTGTTTCCACCATCGAATGGTCCAGAAAACAAAAAAAATTTTGCTCAAAATTCCAACTGACAACGCTGCTTTAAAAAAGAAGTAGAATGAAACTAAAAAACTTCACAAGGGCCCATTCGATGCAGTTTTCGATTATGCTCAAACAAATCTTTCATCACATTTAATCTCTTCTTTCAGGTAATTACTGCTGCAATAAACACAAACAGCAAAGACTCTCTTTCCGAATTATGTCTATACGCAACTACTCATCCTACTCACCCGACCGAAGGAGTACAAGCAGGGCATAGAAAGAAAGATGGAGACATCCGTTTAAATTAAACTGTAATAAATAATAGAAGTAATTCCATTATATTCTTATTCGCTGTTCGTTACATTCTACACTGGAGCTTTTTTTACAAACAGTCAGCCAATGAAAGTGGGAATACAGTCCTTCATCACTCTCGTTTTATCTTAATCGACAGCGAATACTGATTTACAATATCGAAATCTTTCTTTCGCATAATTCTGCATTCTAAAGACACTGTGTTAAAAGTAAAAGGTGCCAAAGAAGCAGCATCTCTAACTATAAAATTTACATGACTAGAGGCATTACATAGTGCAGTATTATAAATATAAAAGAAATGAAAGTTATAGGGTAATGGCATAAATATATTTGCTGAATTTTCTAGTTTTTACTTCCTTGAAATTTTAATTACGTGAGTAATGATAATTTCTTCCCAAAGTAAATACATTTTCTGGAATAGAATGAAAAGCACTTCGAAATTTCTAAGGAAAAACGTGTATTTACAAAACACTTTTATCTTGTATAGTCTGTTAATGTACACGAAATATCCTTGCATTTTACTTTGTTAAAGCTACCTCGTTACCGGTACCGATAATGGTGTTTAAGCATTGATGCTGCATTACAAAGAAATCTCTAAAGTTTAAAAAACAGCTGCCTCTTATTCATTTATCCTACTGTCTTTTTTTGTTCATCTATCTCGTACCAGTTGCTTAAACGCGGGGTACTTCCATTCAGGTCCGCCCACTTTATACAGACCTCACAGCCGCGAAGATTTTAATATGTGCATCGTGTAGAGCACAAAAAGTTAGCTGTAGAACATTAGGCTCGTTTTTCAAAAAAACATGTGGAACGTGGTTTTCCAGAGGTCCAAAGTTTTAGGGACACTTTTAGGATTTTTCTCTCAAACCCAAATAAAACTCTTGACTACCGTAGATGAAAATATGGAGGCACATAAGCTGAGTAAAATAGTGAAAGAATTAGGTCGATAGCTATCGGCGTTTTTGAACGGTGATCGATTTAGTGGAAAAATTCGGAAAGTTTGGGCTAATATATCTCAAAAACTCTCCGAAAATTTTTTCTATTTTATATCAAAATAGATAGAGCTCATCAAGCTCTAAAAAATGGCTGTAGCCAATTTTTTGGCAAACGCCATTTTCACCATCATCTTGAGCATCAAAGTTCGTAAAATATCGTCGTCTTTATACGATTTAAACTCGATTTCTACTCTATGTTTCACTTCTATTGTGACCACATCGTTTCTGTTATCATCAGATTTGTAGTTCTAGCTGATTTTAATCATAATAAGCTAAAAAGAAATCACTAAGGAAATTTTACCATCTATATTCATAGAGATTTTTTACTCGAGTTTCCAAGAATATTACTTATGAAGAGCCATTTTTGTCTTGAAAATCAGTGATTACGTGAAAAAGATTGGTTGGAATTACTTATGGTGATCTATTGACTTGAATATTATAACTTTGCTTCAGAAAATGTATTTGCATTATGGATTTATTTTTCAATCGTCAGAATTATAATATTCTCATTTTTAACATTAAGATCTTTCAGAATAGTTCATAAAGCAAGTATTAAGCTATGATGCACATGTATTTGGATAAGAAACAATGACAAAAACTTGTAATCTTGTTTAGACAAGTACTCTGTGCTGTTTTTCTACTGTATTTGACAAATATATAGTTTCCAACAAAACATATTTTTGCTATACTCTTTGTGTTTCATATATCTTTGTTTTTAGAAATGTCAGTATCTACTATTAAAGTTCGAAAAATTGGTTGCCGTTTTCATCCTCCAGCATTAATTTTGTTCTACATTGATTTAAAAACAAATAAAACTCGTCGTCGTACTCATCCAATTGAAAATCTTTCGGTAAACACTAATGTAACTGATTATGCTCGGGAACTACAAGAAAGTGAAACGAATAAAAGTAATTTATTTAAATTCATTCCATTGAGACGTTTAGAACGTTTAATTTTTGTGTTAAAAAATGGTTCATGCAAAAATCAGCCAATATCAACAATTAAAAATCATCTAGAGAGTTATGATCGTTTGGATTTAGATGAAGATTTGAATAAACTTGATGATGACACGTTAAAACATAAAAAATCCATAATGAACGAATTATTTGAGAAAAATTTAGTGACAAAAGAAGATAAAAATTATAAATATGATATCGACGTTGATTTCACAACAAATCAGCAACTTCAAGCGTCAGAGTGGGATTCAGACAACGAGGACGATGAATAGAAAGTCGAGTTTTAAAAAGGTTATTTCGACAAGCAAAAAATATAGGCATTAGTGTATTTTAGAACCTGTCGATCCTTATAACTCTTACGGGTAACTTCCTCCCTCTTTTTTCAGAAAACTTTCAGTTTTGAGTTAAATATAGTTTCATTTAGACGAAAGTTGGGGCTACGAAGTAGATTTCTTCTAGTGTTCTACAATCTTTTTAAAAAAGTTATAGATTTTTTAAGTTTTGCTCATAAAGCTGAAAAAATTCAATTTTGTAGTTTGTTCTCTCTTTTTTCCAGTTTCTTCAAAAAACTTTCTCATAGATGGTCTGATAGAGCGAAGTGTTCTTTTTTTTACAATGCGACATCTCCCAAAATTTTTCAATGGTTTTTCGCGAAAATAGAAGTATCGCCGCGAATGCCCTGGAAAAGATTACTTGTGAGATTCAAAACACAAATGGTCCTAGTTGGTGACTCCTGAAAAACTTCATAAGATTTAGCTTAATACTTACGCATTAATTTATATAGCGCAATACTGTACTCTTGAAGAACTGTATACTCTCCCCTTGAGTTACGAATAGTTCATTTCTATTACTAAGTCTTGTACACTTTTTGAGCATAGTTTAAAATTTTTTTCGCATCGGAATGTTACTGATACATTAATTGTTTTCTTTACTTTTCTGGTCATTTTTTGTTAGTGCTAATACCTGTTATTTGTGCAAAAAAACAGATACACTCTTTTTGAAATAAATATTTTTGAAAAACTATATCTATCTATTGTAGTCATTTGTTGAAGAGAAATGTGCACAGAAATCTTCTGTACAGTTTATTTACGCAATCTTATAAGTGCGGTACGCTTTGTTTAAATATATCGTTGGACATACAGAGTCCAGAGATGTCTCAGTTTAAAGAGAAAACATTTTTCTTTAAATTGTTGTTGTGAGTTCAAATACTTTGTTCATTTGATCATATTTTACACTCAGGGTGAACACGTTTAAAAGAATAAAATGCTGTTACACATGTTCTTAGCGGATGTGGATTCAACTCTCTCCTTTTCAGCTGACTAAAACTAATCATTTGTCTTGCAAAAAAATGTTGATGCAGACAAGTACTGTGTGAACAAAGTTAAAAAGTTTAAGAGTTTTGTTCCATAAACATTGTAAGAAAGAATTTAGAAGATAGAACATATATTCAACTATTTTCATTATAAAATACACCAAAGAGAACCACGCGTTTCAGATACTGTTAATATCGTTCTATAAATTTCATCAGCATCAGTTAAACTCTGTAATTGTTTCAGTTAAAGCCTTAGAATATGTGTCAGGAGTAAAATTTATAGAACGATATTAACAGTATCTGGAACGCATGATTCTCTTTGGTGTACACTCAGACTTAAAAGTAGTCGTAGATTAATAAACTATCAAAAAGGATTTATTGAGACCAATAAAAACCGCCCGTTTTTCATTTTGCATCTGTCACAAACGCTTTTTAGGTTTTTGGAAATAAAAAACGGAAAAACGTTTTTTAAAAGGTTTTTTTATCGGTCTCAATAAACCCTTTTTGATAGTTTATTAATCTACGACTATTTTTTAGAGTGTATTTTATAATGAAAGCAGTGAAAATAGTTGAATATATTTTCTATCTTCTAAATTCTTTCTTACAATGTTTATGGAACAAAACCCTTAAACTTTTTAACTTTGTTCACACAGTTTCATTTAAACGGTTTTTGATAATCATTTCTAGCGTACATTCTGAATTTTAACTTTTGAACATTAAGAATCATCAACATCTAAAAGCTTCATTAACTCGGAAGGAAAACTGTGGATTTTTTCCTTAACCGTTCACTTGAAAAGAAAAGTTTGTCTTACAATACCGCTGACACACACACATCGGTCAATAAGTTATGTTTAGCTTTGTCGTTAGAGAGGTGAAGTTTTCAACTATCACCGCACATCGAATGAAAATATTCTTTCCTGTTAGTAAGACGATCTTCTAAATCACACGAAATTTATCAATATAAAATCGTACTTCGTGTCTTGTTGCCGATATTGAAAATGCATTATCAGCAATCATTTTTAAGAACATAATTTTTCCATCATTTTGTGTCTGATCAATAACTTCCATCATTGATATTAAATCATTCCATGATTCTAATGGCAAACGAATCTAAAAACATAGAATACACTACCATCAAAGTAAAATTACAAAAAGGAACACATTTATTTACCTTTATTTTTGGTTCTTCAATTTGACTAATATATAGTGTAAATAAACAATATAATGCAACAGTACAATCAACAATCAACAGACTCAAACATTTTGTTTAAGGTTTTAAAACGATATAAAGAGTGAGCACATAACATCTATTTACTGTTATCAAAGAAACATCTGATTTTTTCTGTACTGGTTTCGGTCAAGCGACAATCAAAAAACTATAACCATTAAAACCAGAAAAAAACGCACACAAATCTACATCTTGACTTTTTCCGTGGACTCAGAGAAGTTCTCTGATTCTATACAATTATTCTCATATATTTAGATATACCCAGGTCAAAGGATCTTACTGTAAGTTCTTACAAGACCTTATATGATCCTACAGTATGATCTTGTATGATCTTGTAATATCAGACAAAAATCGTACAAGATCGTATAAAAATCTTATGAAAAATCATAGAAACTGATTCATCTTATAGAATCTTACACTAAGATTCTTACAAGATCTTACAGTAAGATCATATAAGATCTTATAAGATTGTACAGGTATCTTATCATACGATTTGGTAAGATCACTGCAGGATCTCATCTGATTTTCTGCTGTTTGCTGCAGCTGCCAATCCGTTCCCTTCTTCTCTTTCATTTGGTGTCAAATTCCATTATAGTTTTGCTTTCTACACATCGTTTTATTCGTAAATTTTCTCAACTACTAAGTGAAACTGTTCCACAAACTTTTGATCATCGTTACCAGCTAACACTAATTAAAGCATGAGGAAAAGAATGTAGATGAGAAACATGCGGCAAACGAGGATGAGTTAGATAAGTAGCCATCGACAGCATTACTAATTGATGGTTTTACTGTATTTTCTTGTGCCTGGCTTTTTTCCTCTGTATAGACGCCATCGTACAATAATGAGTACACTATGTTGTATTGAAATTCATTTAAACGGTTCATTACAGTGGCTTTGTCATGTTTTACAAGCATGGAATCTATCTGGACCTGTATCAAGCAAGTAAACAAATGTGTCAATATCTGCTCTCTTTTAGAACGCGTTCTCGCTTGTGCCATGTTCTTTTTATCCGCTGTTAGATATCAACTTATGTTATTTTCTTGAAAAGAGAGGAAAACCTTTTACACGGCATTTTCTCTACTGAAATTTCTTTTCGCTTTTTCTTTTATATTATATAAATATAGAAATGGTTAATTAAACGGTATTTTCACCAATTATCATTTGTTTTATTAAGAAATGACTTTTTACTTTGTAATGTTTTTTGCCGATTGAGGATATCTATCACTCAGGTTTCATCTCAGTTACAGCTGTTTATCTCTTCCAAAAGCCAGGTGTAAGTTCTCAGAATAAAGGCTGATGGACTCGAATTGGTTTTTAAAAGAAAAACTCTAATCCTTGTCAGGGTTTCCGATTGTTCTTAGGGATGGGAGAGGCTAAAAATTTTGCTTCGCAGAAAATGACAAGCGAAAAAAAGTTTTCAAAATTTTTGTAACCCGTTAAAACCTTACTTCATGAAAAGAAAATTGAGCTATTGTGACTCTATATTCCTGTTCAGCATGAAGAATTCAAGGTATTTCAACGTTTTCTGAAGCTTTTTTGTGTTTGTGTACCACATTTTTTCTAAGAGGATTTCTGGAAAACTGATGGTGGAAAATGGAAAGTGTCGAGGATAGTTGTATGGGCAAAGTTATAGATATTACTAAGTAGTTCCTATCCTGAAAAAATCTCGAAAAATTTTCGGAGCGTTTAGGAGAACATCGAGGATAAACTTCAGGAGTTTTTCAAGTAAATTGAGCGCCACTCGAATGTAAGGTTATTTTTGACGCTCTACACCATGGGCAAAGTGAAATTTTCGCGGTTTCGCGGCAAGATGCTCTGTATAAAGTGGGCGGAGCTGTGTGGAAGCACCCAATAAGTAATATTTTAGCGAAGCAGCCATAATTCATTAATTATGGCTGCTTTCGCTAAAATAAGACTTTAAGATGGGTTGAATAGTTTGAGAGCGAAGCGTTAGCTTCTAGCTTTCTGTTTGCTATGCCACAAACATATTAAAGAGAAAACGCAATCAAGATTTAGTTTACTACGATTTCTATCGAAATCATCATCAGAAAGTACTCCTAAAATCATGATTAACCTATTTAAATCCTTAGCTAGGCCAATATCGACATACGGTGCATCAGCATTGTTAAACGCAGAAGATAAAATCAAGAAGCATTTGCAAATACAGCAAAATAAAGGAATTAGGAGTTCCACGCTACACATCAACAACATATATTCATCTAGAAAGTAAACCGCCAAAGTTAAAAGACTACTGTAAACTACTAACTAATCGAGCACTTCGACGAGCAGAGGAGCATCAAGACGATATAACAATCGGAAACGTACAAGAGCTTTAAACTAAATTGTAAATAGATTTTTAAACTCTATTAATTAAATTTGAATTTCTTTTCTGTTTGTATTTTTCACTAATAATAGACCTTGCCCGTGTGTTAGAACTGTATATATTTTTATTATTTCATATTTTTTTTCTTCAGGTTTTTAAATAAACTGTTGTCACCTCATGCCACAAATCTTCGATTTGTTTTTTTCGCCAAAGCAATATTTGTTCGTCTGAAAACGCGATTTTCAGTTTAAAAATATTAGCGTACAGGATTTATATTTCTATGTTTAAAATCTTTTCCTCTTGACAACTCTTTTAAAAAGTAATATGGTGATCTCCTTAATCCTTTTGGCTTTTTTTTATGTAGAGGAAACAGTCGTTAATGATGTGACATAAACTAATTGTGTGTAAAAAAAAGAAACAAAATAGTTTATAGTCTATTTCATATGGTTTTATTTAGTACCGTGGCTTTTCAGCCTCGATGATCCTACAAAAAATAAACTAAGAAGATTCCTGAATTTATAATATTTTATATATTTATTTTTATTATGAATTTTAAAAATTTAATTTTTAGATTTTTTAATTTAAATTTTTTTTTTTTCATATATATTACATATGTTAAAAAGAATATCAGGTAAATACCTTTGAACGCAATACAAGTTTATAGATCGTTTTGATCTATTATTATTATTAGTGCTTTTTAATATTTTATCATTAGGTTAGCTTTGTTATGTTTAGAATAGAATATGGGAAATGCTATTATAATTATAGAATATAAATATAATGTTAGATTAAATAATATAATGGTATTATAACTATAATATAAAATTAAAATTGCTTCCCCCTCAATAGTTTGGTAAAAGGACATCAACTTTTATTAACACATAAAGAAAAACAGAATCTGTACAAACATTAACAAAAAAATTGGCAGAGTAGAGAATTTTCTTTATAGTTCTGTAAATTCATTGCGTTTTTTTCTGATACGACGACGTTTCTTTTGTTGTGTAGTATTTTCGTGCCGGCCGTTATTGTCTTCTGGTTGTTTCAAGCATGCTTCATCGACATCCGAGTCATCTTCCTGCTTCAGATTTATTGTTGTGGCTTTTGCACGAATTCTACCTCGACGTTCACCAACAGATGATCGACGCTAAAGAAAATTCCGAAAATATTAATCGGGACATATATCGACATATATCAAAAAAAAATTACCTTTGGCGTTGTCGACACATCAACTTGAGTTGAATCGAATCCAAGTCCACTGAAACATGTGTAATTTTTATAGTCAATACCTTTTTTTCATACAGTTTTACTTACGTTTTTAATTGTTCAATAAAATTTGAACGTATTGACTGTAATTCATCTGGTACATCTGACGTACCAATCGTACTTAATAAACTATCTTTTGCTGTTGTGTACAAGTCATGTGTTTCTTCACAAAGCTAGAAAATAATATATGAGTTTATTAGATATAAATAAAAACGCATAAATTCCATAAAGACTTACTTTTAAGAGTTTTTCATCAACATTTAAACGGGATGATAACAATGATTCGGAACGCATATATTTCGACGATTTAGTTTGCATTACTTTCATAAAAAAGCGAGGACCCATCTAAACGACAACCACTGTATTTCACCTATTTTTATTTCTATCTCTAGGAATGAAACATGCTCGAAAAAGAGTGGTAAGTTGTTCTATTTTCAAGTCTGGACTTGGGCTTGTACATCCTTGAGTACGTGCGCATGTCTAGTTACAAAATACAAAAGCTAAACAGCTTTTCAAAAACAGCTTTGATATATTGCTGTGGACCTCAGTGATTTGTGAAAATAACGTTTTTTGATAATCATTTTTAGCGTACATTCTGAATTTTAACTTTTGAACATTAAGAATCATCAACATCTAAAAGCTTCATTAACTCGGAAGGAAAACTGTGGATTTTTTCCTTAACCGTTCACTTGAAAAGAAAAGTTTGTCTTACAATACCGCTGACACACACACATCGGTCAATAAGTTATGTTTAGCTTTGTCGTTAGAGAGGTGAAGTTTTCAACTATCACCGCACATCGAATGAAAATATTCTTTCCTGTTAGTAAGACGATCTTCTAAATCACACGAAATTTATCAATATAAAATCGTACTTCGTGTCTTGTTGCCGATATTGAAAATGCATTATCAGCAATCATTTTTAAGAACATAATTTTTCCATCATTTTGTGTCTGATCAATAACTTCCATCATTGATATTAAATCATTCCATGATTCTAATGGCAAACGAATCTAAAAACATAGAATACACTACCATCAAAGTAAAATTACAAAAAGGAACACATTTATTTACCTTTATTTTTGGTTCTTCAATTTGACTAATATATAGTGTAAATAAACAATATAATGCACCAATACGAATTGGTAAACGCCATGGTTCACATAGATAAGCAGCGGCTACAGTCATCGAATCATCCAAAAACTAGAAAGAGAACTAGCTGGAAGAGACATAATTAGGAGTCTTTATTGATAATACGTACAAAACGAAATGAATTTGGTTGTATGTCGGCTATTCTAATTAAAGGAAAGAAAGATGAAATTAGATGGTTTCAAAAGTGCAATACAATTTCTTACTTGAAAAAATATTCAAATTTATGATGTTTCCATAATGTTGCAAATGTTTTATAATCATGACAAGTTTCTTTTTCAAAATCATGAAATAACAAATCCAAATCAGACGAAACAGGTGGAAGAAAATTGTAAATACAATAGGCAGCCATCTAGAAAGATTATAGAATTTACATCCTACTTAGCTAAAATGTTTTCTTCGCATTAATTTTAGATCTCTACTATAACCAAATCATATATTCTACAACAATTACGAATATCAAGTTTTATTTGTTAAATACAAATTTACAGTGAAGCATTACCGAGTATTTAGCACAGTACACTCGATTTCATCACTACAAAATACTTTACAAATTTACAAATATTTACTTTATAAACTATGATTATCTCTCTTTACTCCTTTATTACAAGGTTGCGATTAACAGTTAAATGTACACGACGAGACACAAGGAGAATATCGCTTGAATGTCGTTTTGTTGTTAAATCACTTAAATGTAATTATTAGAGCCGTATCAAATAAGGAATATCTCTATCTTTTCACTTCTTGGCAAATGTTAGCAAATGTCTATTTTGCTATATACATCATAGCAGAAGAAAACATCGATGACATTTTGTGAAAAAAGAACAAATTTCGATTATTGGGGGGGGGGGGGGGGGGCCCCGGGGC